ATTAGTGTCATTTTTAATGGAGAGTTAGAAATCCCATTTTGTACATCATGCTTATATCGGTCTTTCAGCTGGCTCAAAGTAGTCATCAGCCGAATATTGGCTGTATCAAGGGAATGAATTTTTCTTTCTTGTTCTTCAATCACCTTCTCCTTAACCACAATCATTCCTTGCATCTCGTGCTGTTCTCGTCGCAATTCCTCTTCAACTGTAATCAATCTAATACATTCACAGAAACTATCTATTAGGAAATTTGTAAAAAAAATAAAATCTATATTTCTTATTATCTTTTTAAACTTTTCAACACAAAAAAAACTTTTAACAACAAGCCAAGAATATTTTCAAACTGATAAAGTTACATTATTAATTAAATTTTCAGTATTTGGAACTTATTAATAATATTTTACTATTTCTTAATGTTTTAAATCTTACAATATAAAATAGGTAATGAGTACATTACGTCTTTAAACAAGAAAAATGGGATTGAAGCTAATAAAATGTGAGTTGTAAAATTTCCACCTATTTCACAAACAGTTTTCTTATTGAGATCACTGGTACATTTTTCTGTGCTATGATTCTTTTAGAATACAAAGTGTAAACACAGTCAAAATACATGCACTGTAATTGTCCATGAAAAGTTCTAGCACATGAAAAAAAAAAAGGATCAATTAAGAGAACTTGAACATTTATACAAAATATGCAAAGTTTTCAGATGCTTGAATAATTTGATACTATTAAAAAAAATACTTAAAATATCTTCTTTATAACTGAGAAAGTTGAATAATCTTTACATTTACGCCAGTGTCATAATTCTTGAAAATGTTTATATTCTGTAAGAAAATTATAATTCATAATTTCTCAAATACAAACATGATAAACTCCTGAAAGTTTACCCTTGCAATGATACCATTACAGTGGATGCTACTCCTGAAGCACATTGTACTTCAAGAAATCTTCTCAGGCCAACTCCATAATATGTGTGTGTAAAGTGTCCAAAGTCTACCTGTGACATCAAGTTCATTTTGTAAAGAAAATTGTATGTCATATAAAATTGTATGTTAAGGAAACAGAGATTATTAGCTAAAATGTTTTGTGAATATGCTACATACAACTGATGATTCCTCATTTAAGCTCTCCAGACAATGCTTTTGAACATTTCAAAATCTTCAAATACACCAATCCAAACAAACATTAATAACAGCTTCAATGAAATAAAATGATTTGGTTTAGAATTTTTGTTCAAAGCTAAACATAAGCCATTCCTAATTTTGAACTGATAGATTACAGAGAGAAGGCAGATAGCCAATAACACCCAATGCCTACTTTTGGACTACTTTTGTCTGAGCAAACAGTAAGAATTGACTATCACTCTCACAGTGTACCCAAGGTCACAAAGTGTGGAACCATGAATCTTTGGATTTACAGTCTGTACTTACTAACCACCAGGCCAAGCCTGCTCAAATAAAACTGTGTGTCTGAACTTTGCAACAGCAGCCCCAGTAGCATCACTGAATGGTTTTATTTTTGTAACATCCTTCCTCCTTTTTCACCTCTTTGCTTTCTTACTCAGTTCACCATTTCTTAATTTGGTTTCACAATCTCCAGCCATGATTTAAAACCATTTGCTACTTTAAATTTCCTTCATAATGTTGAAAAATAATTTTTCTTTCAATACTTTTATGTTTTGTGTATCTACATAAACATATTTTTTTACTGTATTTTTACACTAATTTAAAGTGTGTTATAATTTTTTTAATTTAATTCTATTAATTTCCCAAACCTGTATTACATCAGTTATACTTATCCCCTTATTGTTTTGTAATGCTGAGAAACAAAAATGCTATTGCTTGCTGTAACTTTTGTATTTAGTTGCATCTTGTCAAAAGTTTAACTACAGTTTCATTCACTTTAGGTTTATTTTTTTTGTAATTGAGCCAAAAACAACATATTCAACATGTCAAGAACCACATTAATTCACAAATTACTGTTCATCAGCCAGCTTTCTTCTTCAAGATGTAAAATGGAAAAATTAATTCACCGTTGAGATTGTCTCATTTGTTACTTTAATTCAATGTACACTTCAATTTATAAAAAAAAACAATAATTTAAAAAAACTACTCACATCCAGGACTTTTCAAGTTCTTGAATAAATATGAAAAAATTTCAGGATTTCTGTGGGTTTCTAAGCCCTTTATGAATTCCATGAATTTAATTCAGGATGAGACAAACTTGAGGTGAGCAAGTAAAAATCTGTTATTTTTCTTATTTTTGTTCAACTTCAAACAAAGGCTTTAATCAACAAAAAAGGTTAACTGGATTTGTGGTTCACATTTTTTTTCCTGCCATGAGACTACAAGTGGATAATGAAGTGCACATGACAATAGAGGCAGTAGAAGTGAGAAGATTAACATTTGTTTTATGTAATGTACATTAATTAAAAATGTCATCATAATTCAAAAGGGGATATCATTAACTTTGTTAATTTGGGTTTTTATGCATCTAAGCATAACACAGTTACATAAGATCACTCTACCTAGTAATAATATTTTTCATTTGTTGATCTTTTTCTTCTTGTTGTTTCTTCAGACGTACCTCACCAGCTTCTAGTTTTGCTTGACAGTCAGCCATAAACTGTTCTGTATTGTTCTCTTGCTGTGACAGTTTCTTTTCTGTTTGGTTTAATTTGCTATGTAGTTCTGTCATTAGTCCTTTTAATGCTTGTATCTCCTGCTCATACTGAGAGTTCAAGACATAACATTATTAAAGATAAAACCCACAGTTTAATAATAATGTGAGAATAAGCTCTTGACATGAATGTTTAGTACCCTGAAGTGAAACACAGCTTAACTAGTTAAATGCTTTTTTTTTGTACAAAACATACAACTGTTATAGTAATATTGTGTAATGCACATTTATGGATGGTAGGTATAACTTATTATCACGAGAACTATGAATTATTATTTTTTATAATAAAACTAAAAGATTCTATACAGTTGAAGTTAATTTTAGTATGGTGAGCATAACTTAAAACCTAAACTCTAAAAATACTAAATCTAAAGTTTACTACCCTTCATATAAAATTAGAAACTGTATCTATGAACATCTAAATGTCTTCAAATTCAAAGGTAGTCTTAAGATCTTTCAAAAATGATAAATAACATCTGAACACATGTAAACTGTATAATGCAAATACAAGATAAGATAAATATATCTATCAATCTTACCATACATATATATACTTACATGTACAGGGTGTGATGTGGTATTCCTTCATTTTTTGTTGATTATTATTCTATTCATATTTTACATACCTTTATTTTTAAGAATACTGGTATTAGAATTTTGATTATTCTTAGTGAAGAATAAAAAGATTCCTTACAAGGGATTTATTTATTAAAAGGATCATTTTAAGGTTCAAATACTTATTCTGAATTAAAGACTTAACAGTTTCTCACAGAAACACTTTCCTACAATCATATTTCTAAACATATTCTGGCTATTCAGTTCCACTCACTATAACAATTTAATATTAAGAATAATCAACAAATATTTATATTACTGAAAAGTGGTATCTTTTAAACCCTTAGCAAGAAACAATTGACAAAACAACAAAATAAAATTCTATTGAATAGCAATGTGTGTATGTGTGTGTACTACCTCAAGTTATGTAAACTCGTGAGTAATGAAAGGTTATCTTAGGACATGAAAAGTTGCTTCCTTTGTATGTAATTGTAAAAATGCATAAACGTTCATACAAACTGCAAAACACAACATGTGAAACTGTAAATTTGCATGTAGCCATCATATCAAATTTCTTGAAGATCCATCTAGAGGAGGCGAGGTAGTGGTAAAAAAAATGCCCATAAAAACCACAAAATGCAAAACTGAAAATTAGTATGCATCACCCCATGGACACAATGAATCTCCATGCCAAATTTGGTGAAGATCCATTGACAGGGGGCAAAGTATTGGTAAAAAAAACAAAATCACCCATCAAATCCACAAAATACAAAACTGAAAATTTTTATGTACAGGTCACAGATTCTGTTTCTTGTTTTAATATTTGGTTGTGCCCCCTCTGACCTTAATAACTGCTTGACATCATCATGGCGTAGTGTGCACAAAGAATTGAATGTAGGAAGGGGTGAGAGTTCATGATGCTACACTTTGGATTAGGGCTTCCTTTAGTTCCAAAATGATTTTCAGGTTTCTTCTCTTGCACTATGTTACCCACTACCTTCCAGCAGTTTTTGATAGGGTTGAGATCTGAGCTGTTGCCTGACCAGCATAGTGTCTTGATCCTCTACCTTCGAAAGTAGTCCTTCAACTGAAGCAATGAAATAAAACGTAAGACATCTATTCAATACACCTAGAGAGAAGTTTCCTATATATTTCATGTCTACTGCATAAAGTACAGGAATAATACCAACCTTTTTAGCCTTGTGGCAAGGAGCAGGGTCATCCTGGAATGTGCACTGGTCAGCTCCATCAAAGTGATCCCAAACTGTTCGCTTGAACCAGGACTTGAGGATCTCAAAGTACTGTCAGTACTGACAGTGCTTTTCATAAAATGAGGGCATCCCACATCCTGGCCAAAATTTCAACTTCACATCACCTGAACCTGCAGTTGCATTCAAACACGCTAGATGAAACTCTTCTCCACATCAATGCTGTACATCAGACCTGTACAGGTTAAACTTTGATTTGTCTGTGAAGATCACTTTGCTCCACATTGTTTCAGTCCAGTCAGCATGCTCTTTGGACTAGTTGAGCCTCATCTTCTTCATTTTATTGATAATGAGGGGTTTCTTCCTTGGCCTTTTTGTTGGGAGACAGGCTGAAAAAATGTGAGACTGGGTGGTTTGTACAGGTTCATGTGTTTGGGTGATTGTCAGCCACTGTGGAAGCTTTCTTCTTACCCCTTCCTTTCCACCACTCCACACAACCAGTCTCTCTCTATGTCTCTGCATCCAATGGCTCACAGTAGACTGGTTAAATTTGATTCTTCTAGCAATCTGTCTTGTTGAGATTCCCTCTTTGCTTAAAGAAACAATAATTGTTTTTGTTTTTCGTGGAGTTAATTTTCAACCTTTGGCCAAGGTAGCATCACATGCAAATTGTAGCAGATAGACTTCTAAACTGACTCTCAGTAAGAGTCTCTATTTATAACCAAAAAACAGCTCATGCAATACCAGACAGCCTATAAAGCTACTGATGTAATAGTTACAGTATTGCATCATCCATGAAATACATTTGCACCTACATGCATTAGGGCTTCAAAACGGATGATGATTCCGAAGAAAAATGTGCAAAATTTGGGTGATGCAATAAATTTTTCCACCACTGTATATAAATAGAGCAAACACACATCATTTTTAGTTAACATTCATGTGATTGCAACAGTACAGATTATAGGTGACATTAACCGTTGTTCCAAGTATTAAAACAAAAAAACATTTGAGTATTTCAAAGATTTAATTTCATCAAGTTCATTACCTATGAACACCACTGTAAACTGACTCTCATGACTGAGACACCCACATACCTCTTCAACTGTTTTCTTAACTTTATTGTTTCTTCTATGAGGTGTCTTTTCTCCAGGATGCGACTGTTTAGTAGACAACATTGGTAGAAGCTCAGGGGCTGGTTCTTGTGAATCACTTTTATACAAGTTTTTTCTGAACGAAAAACAAATTAATTAAGTTATTACGTTGTAAGAGTGCTTAAAATATACTTAATCAATCAACTTCAGCTTTTTAAGGTTTCTTATATGGCTTGAGTTTTATAAAAAACTGGAATATTTTAAGTAAAACCAGCACAAAATAAACAACAAATAATATATAATCTTCTAGATCCTAACAAGCTTCTACATACATGAACATATAATCACCAGTCAATTTACTAAGACCCTTCTCCCCACACCAACGTGTACATTTGTAGAAAACTCCATTTATTTGCATATGGAAAATATATTGATAATGTAATGTGCTTGGCAATTGGTTGAGCTCTATAAAGCACATATGTAGGTATATCATGGTTAGTATGTGAGATAATGGACAAGCATGAGAATCTGATCTCAGCCTTCCAAAATGCCACATAATGAATGCCCATCTGGTTAGAACGTTGTTAATAAATTCTATTGCTTTGCTGTTCCAAATTTTCTGTTTTTATAGTCTATCAACGATGGCAAATAAAAAGGAATATATATTTCACTATTAACATGATGAGGCTGCCCAAAACTGGTGATCAACTGGTAGAACAGACAGTTTGACAGGTTTGTACGTCACACCATATCCCAAATGACAAATCATTCAACATGTGAAGGATACTATTAAATGCATCTATGGTACCCAACAACCAGTATAAAACCTGCTCATATTGGACTGAAACAGGAAAGCATGGCTTTAGTACAAACTATGTACACTGAATGAATAGAAACATACAATTTGTTTGAAAAATTGTGTTCCATACTTTTATGTACTGGCAATTCAGTAAAAACGTGGAGAAAACCATACAAAGCACTTAGTCAGCTTGTGTTGTTTTGAGAATGTAAGCTGTTAGAGGAGGAATAATTGTGTGAACTTTCTGAAGCAGTTGTTGAATCTATTGATTACTTTAGAAGACCAACTAAAACCCAGACTATTCCTGAATTTGTTTGTAAATATGTAATTCAAAGGTTGCTTTCACCCTAACAGACTATAAGGGGACTATCATGATGATGATGCCACGATCCACCACACTTGTATTGAATGAATTTGTTTCAAAGATCATGAAAGTGACTTCAATCATCTTCCTTTATCAGCAAAATCACCAAAACTCAATCTAATTAAAAATCTTTGGAATATACTTAACCACTGTATTCACCTCCATAATCCCCTCCTAACATCCATGTACAAACCACAGACCATACTCTTTGATGAAGAGACCACAGTTAAACAGCCAACATTTTCCAGAATCTTGTCTTGTTTGTGGTCTAAGACATGTCAAGCCCAGGTAATCATTGTGAGAAAAGATGGTACAACATGATACAAGGTAGGGGTCATAATAAATGAACCAATCAGAGTAGAATAGACCATTATGTGTTTAGAGATATAAACATTGCCTGTTTACAGACAATAAAAATACAAAATTGTAATTCTGGGTGTTTCCTCTTCAAACACTATGTGTGAACCAGTGAATGAATCATTCTGATACCTCAAGCATCAATGCACAGGTACAATTTTCACTGCTTAATCTATTTGACTCACAGACAAGCAGAAATATGTATGTAACAGAATTTGTAGGACATTTAAATTCTTTTCTGGTTGCTTAGAAGATTCATCCTTAAGTCCACATTAAAATCACAAATATATTGAAAAATATTACAATGGCATAAGACCACAGTATGAGTTCTAACATCTAGAATAATACAATATTCTACTTAAGAGCACCAGAAATGAACTTTATCTTTTGGAAAACAATATTTTTAGTTCTGAAAGTGTTGTACTTAAAACCTTCGAGTTTAGAGAAAATTGAACACATGACCCCTGATCTCATTAACAGGCTGTCATAAAATTAATGTACTTTAAATCTATTCTTTATAACTCTGTACTTACACTTTTCTCTCACTTGTACTGGTGATGTCCACAGAGATCCCCCGGTTTAACTTTGCTCTGTAAGACTTAGCCTCTCTTGGACATGTATAACAATGACGTAAAGCTGATCTAGAAGAGTCCACTTGTTGTGACCCAAGGTATTGAGGAATAGTGTTTGGTGAAGTCGATAAAGGATTACTGCAATCTCTTGGAGAACTTGAACCTGGTGAAGAAATCAGAGAAGAATAAGGTGCAATGGAGTTCCCACAAATTCTACATCTCCTATAATCACAAAAAAATGCAGGATATTGTGTGAAAAATGTTTTTAATTACAAAGGGGAAAAAACAACATACATAATTTTCCATTAGACTATTAAGTCTAGCAAAATGGCAATTCATACAATAATGTTACTAAATCTATTTTGGTCACAAAAATTGTTTTTCGTTTACTACAACCATTTTGAAGTTGTAGTTTTACTTTCTTTCACAGTACAATTTCATTTCAACATGAAACAGCATCAACATAAAGACAAAATATTATAATGAAACTAGCTTACAATTAAAAACCACAATACAAATTCACTATAAAAAGTAATAGCAAACTGAAACATTTCTATATATCACTTTATTAAACCAATAAAGGTGTTTTATATTACTACAGGTCTTCAGTACCCTTGCAAGATATACAAAATTTAAACGAATAAGTACGAAATGAACAAGTTTATTCATAAATACGAAAACAACAAGTACATTATGGTATTACAGTAATCAAACAACTTTATTATACATTTCTAGATATGTTCACAACATTATAAATTCAAAGCAGCTTATTGTTTCAATAAACAATGACAATATATATACACCCACAAACTATAGATAGAGATATATCAAAAATAAGGATATGTACTATATAATAACATAAATAAACAGCAGTTTATTTGAAAATTACAGAACCATGAAATTCTTAACTTATTATTACAGAGCCACAAGATGTCAAATGTTAAATTAAATAATCAAATCTATTACATCATTATACATGTAATTCTATGTCTGCATCACTGAAAGTAGAAATAAATGGCTAATGTATCATTATAAATTCAAGTTTAGCATCATAATAAATCCAATCAAACATAATTACACAACCAATTTTTGTAGAAACAATACAGATTTAATGAGTGGTTAATTCTACTATATGTTATTATATGATTAGAGAAGACCAACACAGATCTTTTAAATATTTACAGTATATCATTACAAACTACTATTAGAAAATTACACACATATATATATATATCACTAAATTTTAATTTTTAATTCACAAGTGTAGTATGTGAACAAAAATAGTGCCAATTTTGTAAGCAATAAATAACATGACTTTGCTTGGTGTTTGTTTTAATAGATAATTTTTATTTGCTACTGTACCTTCCACCATTGTAAAATATCAAATAACCATGTTACTTCCAGAGAATAAAAAAACTATTAATTTATTAATGACAAAACAAGATATACAAGTTTCAGAAATTCATAACTTAACGACTGGGCAGGACTCACATAATATAGTAATGTATTGGGGGTGAACAGAAGAAGAAAATTAGTAAGATTAAATAAAAGAGTAGGATCATTAATAATACTAAACATTTCTAAAAAATAATGTAAATAATCACAAATAATAATTGAGTAACTTGTAAGTCTCACATATTTTCAGAGCAGATGTTGCTCTTATTTCCTTGCCAGACCATGAAATTATACATCACATGACAAACATATTAGCATTTATTTTACATAATTTTATTAAAATTATTATCCATACCTTAACAATAAGGGAACCTTGTGTTGGTTTCTTAATATAAAAATTACTCATTTAATATTTCATATACACTAGGTGACAGGTGAGCTGGAGTTTGTAAGGCAATTCAAAATCTATCCATTTTAAATAGTAGAAGAAAAAAATTATGTAATTGATAAAGGAAACCCCATAACTAAAAATAAAATATATCACTATCTCGCACCGTTCCTTCTATTTTTATGAAAATACATTTCTTTTACTTTTTAGAAAGATACAATTTTTACTATTTCTGTGAAAATATCAAAGAATGAATGATATCAATAACATGATGACTACTGTAAAATCAGTAGGCAGCCAGTATATAATTACACAAGCTAAAGATAGTATTAATAAAGTCCCAAGAATAGTCTACAACCAAAAAATTAACTACATTACAGAACCAACATTATTAAACCAAGAAAGTTCTAATATTTTTAATATACCTAACCAAATAACAATTATCTCGTTGAACATACCTACACAAGGTGTGCCAACAATAAACAGATCTTCATCACTCTGGCTATTACTTATGGGACTGCTCACAGAATCCAAAATTTTGATTGGTTGGTTATGCTTAGTAGTCTCAAGTGGCAAACTGTCACTTTCTGAGAAGTGATACATGGGATTTTTGAAGGCTAGAGGTGGTGCTACATGTTGGTAGGCAAGATTATCTTGGTGAATCAGATCAGTAGATGAACTAGAATGGCTATAAGTGATGGACTGATATCCAGATGAAGTCACTGTAGAAAACTAATAGAAAATTTCACAGATTAGTGAAGAATAAGTTTAAAGTTTTAATAATATTACTTGATTTTATTGTATCAAACATGGCATACAGCTGGAAAAATATCAGTGCTTTATTTTCAACTGGCCTTGTCTTAATTTTTAAAACATAATAATACGTCTTTACCTAATGACTTCAAGGCCAAAGCAAATAATTATTGACTGTAAATGATAAAGGAATAGACACAAGTCAGTAACAGAGTTACTTCATAAACTAGTTTTATGTGTTTACAGCTTTGGTAGTGTTGCACTAGTTTCATGACATCATGGGTCAAAACAGATGCCAAAATTGAAGCACTATCAAATCGTCATACATAACAGTCATGAAATGAAATGTACATGTACATATTAGTGGAACTAAACTTGGGATGTATATATACTTTTGGTTTTAATTATAAGTTTTGTATGAACACCATTAATTAATTTGTAAGATAGTACATACATTTACAGTGTGTATAAGCAAGGGCAAAAACTGACATCATGCTTTTCTCTAGAGGTTCTAGCTGATTATGTACTGAAATATAAATAGATATAAGAAATACAATGAATATGTATTAACTAAAATTAGCCTCTTTTCACAACTTGCGGAGGTGACAAACTTGTATAATTTAAAATAACACCCATAACAAATGCTTTTGAAGAGGTTGTGCACACCACTGAACATCTTCTATTAGTTGATAAGGGTAATTTTAAAACATTTTGAGATAATCAAACTACTAAATTGCTGCAAAGTTAATGTTTGCTTAATTAACTGCTAATGTAAAACTGTTACACATAAATATTTTAACAATTCTTCAAGTGCAGTAGCAAAAGTAATAGGCATACTTAATACTGAAAAAATGTTTATGTTTGTGTAAAGTTCAATACAAAATACACACACAGGTGTATATTTATGTGTATTGATATTGTCTTTTTACTGCTGCTGTTGACTTCATTCAAAAGCACAACTTAAAGCTAAAGCCCATAATGTTAGCCTTAAACAACATTAGTGACTGCTTTGAGCCTCACACTAATGAGTTAAAAATGACATTTTAAAATGGATAGAATTCATTACTTTTATCTCTTACAAAAATGGAACAAAAATGCAATGTTTAATCCCTTCAAGTAACAGATAGGCATTTAACTTGAGCTTTAATTAAAGAAACTTACTGTTGAGGACAAATTCCCCTAAACTTCCTGATAGCATGTAACCTAATAACTGTGTGACTTTACTAATCTTTTGTTTTGAGCTTTGTACTTGCTAAGGCTGTCATTGCAAGTCTAAAATTATTCATCTAAATATTTTTCAGACTCCAAATGTGTCACTTGGTAACCAGATTCTCAAATTTTGAGAGCATCAGAAATAATATCTCTTACCTGGTTAATTGACATCTGGCTCCCTTTAATGTTTTGATTATCCAATTCACTTGAAGCATTGGAAAGGTCATCATCTGGAGGCAGCAGCATCATATCATCATGCTTCTTTTCTCTGGTTACTATTGATCTACCAGTGTCCTTTTTTACATCCAGCACGCATGCAGGATCCTGCTTAATACTGATATTTTTGACAGATTGAACACCAACAGAGCTTACTTGCATCATTTCATTTTCTGGTGGTTCATTATAAACAGACTGTGTGACCCTACATGGGAGCACACTGTTTAAGCTGTTGCAAGTGTTGGAATGTATTCTAATATTCCCTGGTGCAGTTTTCTCCAATGTTGAAGACAGCTGAACCTGGCCAGCATTTACTAAACTATGACCATCAGCTGTAAGAACATCCTGTGCTGACTTCTTAGTGGTTCCGGTGAGAATCGTATTCCTAAGAACAGTACAATATAGCAATTAATAATCATCATTAAGACCTCATTATTTTGTGAACTAAATGCGCTTAGCTAAGGTATATATCATTTATATTTAGAATTGTGTAAATCTTAAATATATTACAACCTAAATATTTGAAGACGTGTGTTAAAGTAGGAAGTACTTTCCAGCAACTAGTTAAACAAGTTTAACTGTGCACTGCCAGGTACACACAGTCTTATGCTTAATAAAAAAAAAAAACCTTCAATACAAACAAGAGCTTTGTTATTTATTAAGCTAGAGATAAAATATTAATGTGCTCCAGATAAGATACATATCTATGTAAATACAATATCTGTTTACATAAAAAATGCATTAGAAATAAAAATTTGAATTACCAAGCATACAAAGTATTCACCAGAATGTATATCATTCATATGTATGTGCATATTTGCCAGTTTAAAAAAATAAAAAAAACAATTATTAGTAGTAAAACAAACACAAAGCATGGGAAATAGCTCTCACCCTAAACTTATTAATGAATTATATAGTAATTACCAGCTGGCAATTACCTGTAGTTAATGGTTACTGTTAAACTGAAAATTATACTACTTTAATCAAGCAACAAAGTCCTTAATGTAATAAACTTGCACTGTAATTGCCTCAAATGATCCTAAACAGGGCAGTCATACTGAGATAAAAAGAGAAAGAGTTTAGTAAACATAGCACAACAGCATCAAAATGTCAGGTATTGGACAATGAAAAAAAAAGAACCAGTGAAACTCCAAAATATGTACGTTTTCAGCGTGTAGTTTTCATTTTCATCATTGTAGTTTATTAGGTAATATACTCATTGTGTCAAACATTTATCTGGAGCACTGTTAACATATGTGGCAGCAATCGAGGATATTGAATAACTCGGTTGAGTTAATTTTGGTAAGAAAATACAGGTGTGTGTATATAATGGACATAAGCATATATGCTGCCAAGTTAGTGCATACTCAAGGTGACAAAAAAAAACAAAAACAAGAACTGAGGACTGATATGCATTACAATATAATGCAATCAGCAGAATATTTCCTATCGGACAATTTGTCATAAAATGTGAATATCATATGACGTATTTCTCACCATAGCTCCAAGGTCTTTGCTGAATATTTAATGTACAAACATCATTGGTACCATTGTACATACAATATGCAAACCACTTATTACCACACAAACAACGTCTCTCATTTTTCAACTGCACTTAGATTCTTAGGGTGAAAATCATATCTAAACAATATTATTGTGCTCACTAACAAATGGGTTGTCCTTACTTGTTTCAGTGTCTCAAATTATATGGTGTATAATCCTAATGTTGTCCTTGTTTTACACCTTCCACAAGCATACACACACACACATAAAATATCTAATATGAATTATAGGAGGCAAAACAAAAATAAATTGTCACATTGAAGAAGTAGTTTTCACCTTGGTAAAGTGGAAGATCTATGAAGAGAATCTGGTGAAGAGGTTTCTCTCCTGACCAACTGCTGTAATGTTGTTGATACAGTGCCATTTATCTGACCAGATAGTTCTACACAATTCTTGCTGTTAACTTTGGTGAACTGCAGAGTTTGGTTGTTTGATCTCTCAGCTTCCTGTGAAATTATATGCACCTGATTTCGAGTGAAATTATTTAATGGAGGAGCACTCATCTGTCGAAAGTAGGATGGCTGGCTAGCAGCAGCACATATTCCATTTAAAACCTGTTCTAGGGCTTCTACTTGCTCATAGTATAGCTACAGGAAAAATAATTTTAAAACATACAAAAACAAGAAAAAACTCAAAATGAAATTATCTATACATACTAATCAAGCAAAAAATCCTAATTTGAAGGTCAGAAAAGTAGATCTGTATGTTTAAGTGGTACACTATATCCTGTAATTTGAACAGTATTACACACATGACGTATACAAACTAGATGTTGTTATTTTTTCTTCTTCTGGAGTTCTATGTGGTACATCTTCTCTAATGTTGAAACAACAATACACAGGATTTGATAAGTAGTAAAACAAGTCAGTGGAAAATTTGTAAAGTTCACTTAATTGAAGTTAAGAGCTGTTAGAAATACTAAAACAAAAATCAACACTACACAGCTACACAAATGGATTTCTGCATCATAACAATAATGATATAAGTAGTTGCAAGTTTTCTTCACAAATAAAACTTTGCCAAAATGATTTTGCATTTTTACTTCGTTAATCTTTGCAATGATTTTTTAAAAAACTTGCATTCCAGATGTGTTGTAATATTAGAATCAGAATGTGAAAAACAGTTTACATTTGATTGATATAAGTAATGGTGAAATCTAGCTGAAAATTATGGTATATATATCTTTTTATCTTAACATAAAAGTATTTGGTAGAATTAATACAGTTCTTTGCCTTAAGGGTAAACGCTGCTTTTCCATTATTACACGAAATCTAAGGCTACTGCATTCAAAAAAACCAACAGAAAAGCTATGAACTGAACATAATAAATTTTGATACAGTTAATTTTTAAATCTAATGAAGAAGTTTGTTAATCTAAATGATAGACAGTACAGATTTGAACATAAGCAAATACACTACTTCATATCCCTCAATCTCCTGAAAAGCATGTGCTATGCAATAAGTAAAATGATCTTACATTGTTTGATATACCTTGTAGCTCCCAAACTTGTCTTTATAAACAGTTAGAAAATGGGGTAGGCCATATCATTTCATCTCAGGACTCTGTAGCTTCTGACACATATATATGTATTAAGTGAATTTCTCTTCTATGACTTAAAAGTATATAGGGCCTGAGATGCACTCTGGTTTCCTGTGGCACAAGCACATAAGAATGTTTTCAAATTCCCCCTGAATACTAGTCCATCACAGGTATATATAGGTATAGAGAAACTAAATCTGAGAGAATCAGCACTGTAATAATGATAATTCATTTATTCTTCATCTTTATCTCTTTAGTTAGTAATCTATTTGTAAAAAATAAAGAAGTGAACAATTCCTGACCTTTCTGTTGATCTTAGAAATACAGTCTTTAAGTAGGGAATGAAGAACAGACAACTCTCTTCCTAGACCAATGTAGCCGTCAAACTCTACTCGAGGCTGGCAGTCCTTAGTTGGAGGACTCTAATAATATAAAGAATCACACAAAAATTATACCCATACTTTAAGATTTTACTATATATATGTTTAAGTGATTCTCAACTGAAACAAGGGTATATTTTTTAAATAAAATGAAATTTATACTTTTAAAACAACCCATATAAAATGCCTTTTGAATCATCTACCAACACAACAAGTGAAAGTAATCCAGATAGAGTTAGACTGGTCTCAAAGTTCAGACTACTTAGTGTTACATTTATCACTTCATATAAATATTTGATAACCAAATGAATAAGCTTTATTTTGGCCTGTGAAGAAGTTACTCTTATGAAAATGTTTAATGGAACAAAACTGCTTCATTAAATGTCTTCAGTTCAGATGGAGAATTTATTCTATACTGTTTACATTATGTCTGGAAATTTGATGTTTTATCATTGTTCACCAACAAACATGCAAGTTTATATATAATGAAAATCGGAGAAAATCAATTCAACAGTTTGTAGCAAAGCTTGCTATTCACCTAATTACTAATTTTATCAAGAAAATGGAGACCAAGTTCTAACTATTACAGATTTTGATCAGAGACTTTTCCTCTGAAGATGATTATGTTATAATAAGAAATCAGTAGCAAGACATCATATGGTAAATTATTTAACATTAGATTAAAATGGAATCAGATGACATAAGTACTAAAAAATTAAAACTTTTGAAATAATAATTAAGGAGTATATGAGCATTCATAGCTTAATTGTTGAAAGTGTAGACATATTTGAATAATATACTTATGATGGTGGGGAATAACATTACACACAAGAAGTGTAAAAAGAGATGCATAAAATAGGGTTTCTTTGCAATTTTATTTACATCAGTCACAGATATACATACACATCAAAGATGCTTAATTTTGCAAAATAAAAGTGTAGAGTCCTTTATACAATTGATACAAAATAAAGTAGTAACTGTAGTATAATTTTTCAGTCCATTAATTTTTTAATGCTCCTGTATAATCTATAAACATTTATCAGTGTAAATACATTTACAGCACATATAAATTGAACAGTTTTATATTATTCAAGCTAAAATCATCAGAATTTCATGTGCCACACTGTTTACATCCTAGAATGTGCCTTAACAGCTTTAGGCTTAACAAATGTATATTTAATTGCACATTTTTGTATGAGCTATTAAAAAAAAAAAGTTTGTATTTGTACAGATGTAATTATTACTGTTTCCTTTAATTAAAATATTAACATACCTTTTTTATAAAAATAAAAACAAGATCAATGTATAAAATTCACAGTAAAATGTTATTTGGCCAACAGCCGAAATTAAAAAGCCTCTATGTGTTTCAATAACTTTACCATCATCATAAAATTTTACTGTGAATTTTAAATGCTGATCTTGTTTTAATTTTTAAAATTTATTGCACAAGTTGCCATAATGGAATCCTCATTAATATACCTTTTTACAACATTTAAATATATTGTGTTTTATATCATAGATATGAATGGCAGGATAAATATACAGTTTTCTCTAAATATCATAAGCCATAATTATTGCTATTTATAATGCTAAATTCAAAGTCACAGCCAAATCACCCCAAAATACACAAACATATTTATACTGCTAATAATAATAAAAAAAAAAAAAATGTTTCAGCTTACCGAAATTTGCCAGAGGAATGTTTTCATGGTGCTCCATTCCTTTTCTACAAACTCATTCATAAATTCCATAAAGCTTTCCTTGCCACCAAATCTAAAAATGAAAAAATAATTTTCATTCAATAAAACTTGGTAGCCATTTGGTACTTCTGACCCAAATGGCACCTTATGCATCACAAGAACTAAATATCTGTGTCAGAGGTTGAGATATATAACTGATAATCATGGAGAAGGGCAACTAGTTAGTAGCACCTGTAACCTACATGGTTTCTCTTAACCAAATATTAGGACTGACTATTATTGTTACGAGTCCCATAACATGTTCAGTAGTATAATGTAGCTTAAACCTCGGACCTTCCAGTATGAAGTTTCATGAACTACCACCTTGTCATGCCCAAACCATATAAAATAAATCACTGGTTATTCTAGATCAGTTATTGTAATCTTTAGACCTAGAGTGAAATATATCATTCTTGTTAATGTTCTAGACGTAAATTGTTTGAATTAAAATTATAATTTAAATGTATATGTATATATAAATCTTTATATACTGTTCATTTAAAATTTCATTTTAGCAATCTTATGGCATTTAAAAACTTCTATTTTATGTAATATGTAGGCATTTGTTTAAAAATATGATATAATTTACACCAGCTAAACTGAATTTCATTTTATTTCAACATCATCTTCAATTGCCATAATAATTTAATGTAAGTCTCAAATAACTTTTTGGTTTTTTATGGTGTAATAAACTACAAAATAGCAATTTCATTTTTTTGCACAGAACAATATAAAGGGTTTCTTTTAACCTGAGTTCTAACTCCAACTTTTACAGTTATCAATTTCAGAAATAAAGTTAACTTACTTAGTAAAGTTTGCTAGTGTTTGAATGGTTTTGGTGATGAGGGTTAAATTTCGGGCTGCCTTGTCCTGTGGGTATTCTGAAAGCCAAAGTCCCATATGCATGATCAGTCATGATCGAGTAAATAATCACAGAATGTTTGTGAAAATATTTTTAAATATACTTACATCAAAGAACTCTCTATGAAAGTATTTGTTATAATTACTCCTACAAAAAATTCAATCAAGATTATCCTAGAAAATGTTGACAAGTATCACTTCTCTTAAGATTTCTCAGAGATAATAATTTCCTGTTAGTATTACATTTAAAGTTTATGTTCATACTTATCCATATATCTATCACATAGTCACGCTTTTGACATATAAAAGAACTCATCCTCTAAACTGAGCTTTTTGTTCCAATTTATGGCACAAGAGTGTGCTTTAGTTAGTAAAGCCAAAATAAGTATATTACTTATTGTTGCTTTTTCACATGTTACAACATGTTACACAAAGTATTTTTAGGTACCTAAAATTACTGTGAAATGTTTTATAAAGTAGTGGTTTATATCTTCAGTGGTCCTAACCCAAAAAAAAAAAACTACAAAATTCTGGAGTAACTTAAAAAAATTTTACACATCCTCATACATGCTAAACATTTTAACAGATATTTTTTACTTAAAAATTAATTCATATCCTTATAAACCTTGAGTCAGGTTGAAAAGACTTGGTGACAGTATTGCTGGACACAGGAACCTCAGAAAGACTGAAGCACTGATCAGATTATCGCTGACATCTTCTTTTCCCATAGCTGCAAGCCTTTCTCGATACTCGGCAAACACTTCTCTGAGATCACTGTCAAAAACAAGGACCCATGTTTTTTAACCACATTATAATAAATAGTATATCTAACAATATACAGCATAGTCATAGAAAAACAAGTTTAACCAATATACAGGAACAGATGTGACAATTCATAAATTGTTATACTAGACCCATAATAATCAATAAATGGTTAAGTTATGGTTAATCACCAATAGCAGAAACACAAAACGTGGTTTACAATCCTAGAAAGACTAGTTTAAAGTTCCAAAGCCTCAAACACAAAAATGCAAGTATAAGCATAGAATATCTGCAAAATATAGTAAATCAAATTGAGTAATCACAAAGACAATCTTAAAAACACATGCTGGCTATTATACAAATACAAGAAGAAGAAGAAAAAAGCTTTAAAAAAATTTTAATTCCCTATAATAAAAGCATGGCTAAAATGTGATAAATTCATACTAATAAAAACATTTAATAACAATACACAGGTAAACTAACAGAAAAGCAAGTTTAACAAACATAATGCCATAATACCAAACAATCTAACTTAATCAATGGAAACCTCTTAACAATAGAAAACATAAACATAATCATGGTTAACAAAATCTATGTAACCATAGTATACATAACCATATTCTATAAACTAAACATAGAATTTAACCACAACTAGCATTGGTAAATACTTAACTGAAAACTTAACCACAATTATGACTGTTAAATATTACATCAATATATTTATGGATAAGATACTGAGCACACAAAATAGATGTAATCAAGGTTGGTAACACTATTTTATGAACATAAGCTTACAAATCTTGGCACAACTTACTATGGCATGTATTGAACAGAGGTAATAATCTTAATCCACACCATTTCCACATATGTTAGAAGGTTGGACTGATGCTGCTGAAGAACTGCATTGTTTGAGACTTTACTTGGATCCACCTAGTGTGGTAAACAGATTCATATTTCAGTACAAGTAAAAATCACACTTACACATAACTATAATTTCATATTATATACAGCTTTATTTACTAAACCTAAAAGGATCTACCAAAAGAACAAGATCCTTTAAACATCAAATTTGGAAAAAAAATGAAGACTTAGAAAAAGACGAATGTAACTCAATTAATTATAAATAAAATTAGAAAAATTACAGACTCATGCGCACAGAAGATAATTAATTAAAACAAAGATAGTCCGTGAAAAGAAAAAAATTTAATATTAAATGGAAAAAATCCTATAAAAGATGATGTGATAAAAAAATTTACAAAAATGGGAAATTAATTATAGCTCCAATACAAATAAATCTATAATCCCCAAAAGGAGATAAAAATCAAAACCACATGAAAAAAAAAAGAAAATGTACAAAAAGATAATCAGAACATCAAGTGCAGAAAAAAGTAAGACCTACAAAAGAATGAAAATAAAATAAGGAGAACAACAATATCAGAGAATTATTTCAAGTGAAAAATTGTTCTAATATTAAATATAGAATAAAAAAAAAGAAGACCCACATGGAAGAAATGTGTATATTTAGAACAAATATAAAAAAAAATTAAATCACAAAAAAGAAAGGGTAGTAAAACTATACAACAGTAAAGAAAAAAATATATCTGCATTACCTCACAGTCGTCTGAGCTTTCTAAAACTATGCGAACAAACTCTTGCAGTGTGTCTTGGAGATACTGGAATATGAACATGTAGTTGTTTTTAGGGTAACATTTTTTAATTTATTTATCCATTATCTGCACATAATTATTCATTACTCTGGTTTTTGCTAAAAACTGTTTGAAAGCTTTCAAGGTCAGCAAAATTTAATCAACAAAATATTACTGTCATGAATTCAGTAATGATTTATTGGAAACACGAGATAAAACTTGAAAAAGCATTGTGGTAAAAATTATCAATAATGAAATACATGGTGTAATATCACTACCACTTAGAAACAAGATTTATTAGCATGACATTTTAGTCAGGTTACCTTTATGCAAGTACACAACTGTTATCAACTGAAGAAGAGTAACCTGCCCAAAACACTGTGGTAATATATTTTGTTTTTAAGTTGCAATAAAGATTTATTTGTTTTATTTTGATGTAACAGATTAAAAGATTGTAATTTGAACAACCATAATATAAAAAAAGCATCATAACATGCCATTTATTCTCCAATATAAAGTAAATTTCTATTTTAATCAATATTCATTTACTTACCTTACTTGATATTTTGAGGAAACTTTATTACAACATTACATTTTACTTTATCAGCTGTTATATTGTCACTGATTACATTAAAAGCATTTCAACTTCACTTATATCTAATCTGCTCTTACATTCATCTTATTTGACTTTTATCAGTATAAAATAGTCGTGCTGTTTACCTTGTTAACTGTAACAATTGTACCATTTGTGTTATCAGGTGTAACAATTGTACTATTTGTGTTATCAGGTGTAACAATTGTACTATTTGTGTTATCAGGTGTAACAATTGCACTGTTAACCTTATGAGTTGTAACAATTAAGCACAGTTTACCCAATCAGTATATAATATCCACACAATTTTTTCTAAAACATCTGAACTTTACCTTTTCCCCCAAGAGTTTCATGTAGGCTTCTGTAGCCTTTGTGGCGAGAGAATTACCTCGGAAAGTCAAACGTTGGTCATCTAATTAAGTTAAAATAATTTAATTTTTGTCATATACACCTTTAATAATATATAAAATATTTCTTTAATTCAAACCTCTAAATAAAATATATTTTTACTATAAACCTTTCATATTACATAAAATAATTATTTCCTAAAAAACTATATAAATAAAACATATTTTCACTATATACCTTTGATGAAACATAAAATATTTCTTTACTAAAAAACTGTATAAATAAACATACATTTTTTACTATATATCTTTGAGAATACATATTTCTTTAATGTAAAACTCTAAATAAAACATATTTTTACTACTGGAACAAAACTGTTGTATAAATCAACATACAATGTTTATACAACTTATTGTACACTCATGTATAGTGTACAGGTATTACACTCAAGTCTTTTGAGAAACTCATGTTTAAAACATCTAATACAAATTTTGATATATAAATATATTGACTGAACATATACCAGTACAAAAATCATTAACCTTTTTACAATAACTCAGCCCAAGCATGAGAGAATGAAGAGTAATGTTATATTAACTATGTTACATTACATTCTTCCTATCATAACAAGACAACACCTGCATTACTTAAATCAGTTATACTGGAACTAATTTTACTTTGTTTTTTTTAAATATTTCTGCTGGACACAAATAAAACAGTGCAAGTAATGTCCTTAACAGTTAGGGTACTAACCGATGGAATAACACACTCTAAACACTTTAACTAATATAGTTTGAATTTGATATTTAATTAGCTATATGCTCATTACTAGGTATATATTTGTAGTTCTGATTTATGTAGGTAGATTGCTTTGATCAGAAGTTAATATTAAAATTTCTTTTGGAAGTATAAATTTAAACTCGGTAAATGTTTGAATGCTTTGCTTTTAGTGTTAATGAACAAATAAAAAACAGAAAAACAAATTACCAGTGAAACCAGACTACTGGTGGCAAAAGTTAAAGCATCTAAAAATTATAAAACCAGCTTTATGTAATTATATCCATTGTACTGTAAGTTAAATATTTATTCATAAATTTTGTATATGCATCTGATAACATTTATTTTCACTAACTGAGCCAAAACCAAGCTATCACAGCTTGAATATACAAACTGTACATCATGAAAAATGATAAAAGTTCCTTAGTTTTTCACATGCACCTTGATCACACTTTTAGGCTGAAGACCAAATATTAGTCAGACACAAAAATCATGTATATTAACAGATCCTAATACATAGGTTGACATTAAAAGTAAGTCAAATAGAATATACAGATGAACACTGATATGTTGAGCTTGGATATCTCAAATACAAAGCTGATGTGAAAGTATAAGTTCATGTAGTTCCATCCATTTCAGTTACCATAAATATATATATATACTCCAGATTTATTACCATCCATTTCAGTTATTTCATATATTTTACCTAATACTCCACATTTATTATTTACCAAAATTAAAGTGAAGGTCCCACATTAGCTATCTCAAACCTATGATACCTTGAATATGTTCCCAAGCTTCAAAATTATGATATTTAATTTTATCTTGTTAGGCTAAGGAAATATTCTTCTAGACTAGCACAGTATTACACCCTAAGCTTGATATGATTTGGTTGCACAGAATATTATCTCAGTAGACCAACTCAGTAGTTTGTAGGTGTCTAAAACTTCTGATAAAGCAAACTGTACACATAATTCTAATTAAACACCAACAGAAATGATGCACCTTTCCAACAAAAATATGACTTGTATTACATATAAAATATTATAAGAAATTTTTTATTTGGTCTAATTAAATTTTATATTACCAGACAAATGCAAACGAAATACCATTTCTACTTTAGTAGGTCACTGATAGTCAGTACAAGTTAACTCAGTAACTTATTCCTATAACAAATCAAATTATAATGTAATAATGAAAAATATAGTTATCATTTGAAATAACTAATTCCAAAAATATAGAAAAATAGTAAGCAATAACTAGTAAAAGTATAGTAAGTTATTCAAGAGAAATTTCAATTTAATTTATACCAATTTTTCCAATATCATCCATCACCACATCGGCGAGGAAATTTTTGGCCATATTTTCCTTCTGCATGATGTTGACCAGTGTTGTAGCTATCTCTTCCTACAGCAGAAAAACACTAAACTTGTAATGTTCTTCATAGTGAACAAAATATTACCATTGATAATCTTTTATACATTTGAATGTAGTATTTTTTTTATGATGAGAAATATAGGATATATTTATATTTATTTTCTGAAATTTTATCTATTTAAGTCGTAAGTATATTTTAATTTCATAAACATATTTTTTTACATCATTAATCGCACCAAAGATGTTCATCTAAATGAGCAACAATTAGTTCAAGTTTACTGAAGACTAAGATTCTTACTTAAAACCACAGATTATAATACTAATAAATATAAAACATATATCCCAGAAAGTGCAACAAACTATATTTTATAAGCCACAGTATGATATAAGTAAATATAAAACAATATCCCTGTAAGCAAAACAAACAGCAGACTAAAAATCACCTTATACTGTACCTACCTTTACACGGACACTAATAACAGGTTCTAACATTTCACAAACACTCCTGTACTCCTGTTTCAGGTACTACAAGAGAACAAGACAGTGTTAAACTACTGAAAACACAAAAGGTTTGGTGAAAGAAAGAAAGCAATATATGACTACTTTCATAACCCTTATTTATCAAATATGGAAAGCATCTTAATATCTTAAAAATGGCTTTTGTGTTAATTAGTCAAAAATATTTATTCATTGCCCTTATAAAACATATGCTAGCTCAAAAACTTCTGGTTGAAACTTATGTAACACAAGTTGTGAAAATTATTAAATACTGTTTTCATTTTATGACCTCATCTCAGAAGATAATAAAGTGAAATATATGCTCCTTTTAAGTAGTAGCTTTGTGCTTAATATTTTCCAAATCTTCACAGATTTGGCACAAATTTCACAACTACTTCCCAAAACACTGCTATTTAAATATACTTAGAAGTATCATGTGTCTATATTACATTATCTATGAATTTTAAATTAATTTAATTCAGTTCTAGCACATTATTTTCAATGAAATTATCATACAAGTTAGATTAAGTTTTAGTTACTGTTCTTATTTACTTATTATAAAATACGAACATAAAAAGATTTATACCTTAGGTACAGACTTAACAGTCTGAGCCTTTCATAGTAATAAAAAAAAATTATGGAGCATCTCAGTAAAAGTTGCTTATGGGTTGGTTGATATGGGTAACAAATATTAAATATCATATTAATATCAAAGTTTCTTTCTTTCACAAAAAAATCACTTATTTAGAGATGCAGGAGTGCTGGAGGACTGAATTTTGGAAGGTAACCCAAACAGATTATCTCTGATATAACTTTAAATGTTAGTTGTCAAAATTTTGATAATACTTTATTGTGCTATTGTTATAGGTTAATAATATGAGAACATAAAAAAGATCCTAACTTAAATAATACAAATAACGCTTACATACATACATATATATTTATAAATATATATTACTGCATATGACAAGTTTAAAAAAAAAAGATCTTATTTAATTATACATCATTAACTAAGGTATTTATTTAACTGCAATTTGGAGTGATTTTTGTGATGCTAAAAGTAAGGCAGTTGTTTGTATATTTTTTAAAAGCCACTGGAAGTATTATCTTTTAATTCAAGGGTCACAAAAATAAGTTGGCTTTCCTAACTCTCATTTATATTTAATTACCTCTGCTGCCAGCTGCAAGCAACGTAATGTATCTATAACTTATCAAACTCTACATTTCTGAAATTGATACACCTCTGAACTTAATATGAATATTATTCACGATTACTGAAAGTTAAATTCTTTAATCTCAGTAATTTTCTAAAAATATTCTAGACCAGCAGTTCTCAAACTTTAGTATCGCTAAGACTCCTTTTAATTTAAAATTTTTTGTGTGTCCCCTAACCTGTCAAAGTTTTTGTTTTAAAAAACAATCCTGTGTATATGAAAAGCTGTATTCCAAAATTAAATGTTTTAATTCATATAAATTCAATTTTATGAAAAACATTTTTTATTCCATAGATCATATTTTTTGTAATTATTTTATGAAATTTTGAGGCATGACTTACAGACCCCCCTGGAGACCCTCATGTATCACAGTTTGAGAAACACTGTTCAACAGTTCCAAAATGGTAAAAAAGAAGATAGTGAAAATTTATCCTTCCTACCTGTAAAAACTCTTTATACATAGATAGTGGTAAAATGTCTATTGTTTGAAATCGGGCCTTAACCCTCACTGAAGGGACATCCTTGTTACCTACATTCTTTTCTGCAATAACTTGATACCTAACACAAAAATAAACCAGTATCGAGAGTTTAATTTCTTAAGCTGATATTTTTAAATTGATTATCCTACTGTAATTTCAAGAGCAAATACTTTAAATTACTATTAAATTTAAAAAAATTGACTTAAAATTAACTTCTCATCAGCAGAACAAAGGATAAGTGTAAATGTATAATTAATACTATATCTGTAGAAATAGTAATACGGAACTTAAGAGTAACTCAATATAATGTTTACCTACAAAAGCACTAATCCAAAACCTCTGTGACCAACACTCTTAAAACAGTCTGATTGGAACAAAATAATGATCCTAAATCCTTTGAAAGATATAGGAAAAATATTCTACACATATCAGAATTTCCCTACCTTTCTAATATAATTAGTTCAGTAACTTTTCATTGCCAACTACCTATTATTATTATTATGACTTTTCTTTTTAACTGAGATGAGTGCTTCATAATCTTTTAAACAATCCAGATATAAGAGAAGAAAGGAAACATCACACATCTAGTATCACATAACAGCTAGCATTTTGACATGTCTCATGTTTAACATTATGAGCAGCATGACAAAATTATTCAGCATGTTATAAAAAAATGGTAGTGTGAATTTTTTCCCCCCCACAGTAATGATAGAGTCACAATAAAAAAAAGTGCATAAAGGTCCACCTTGTTCAATATCTATCTAAAATGTATTCAAATATCTTAGAATTATTTTCAACATACACACACACACACAGCTTCATGTTCATACCATAACAACAGGGCTGAACTCAAACATGGTATAAAATGAACATTCCTCCCACCCCCCCACCCCCCCACCCCACTGAAATGTGCAGAGTTAGATATTTGTTAACTTTATTCTTAGAAATTCAAAAGATAGTTACATTTGAGATTTTATAGATTCAATCCCTTAAAGGATAAGTAAATGCAAATCTAGAATCGTCTTGATCTTAAATCTTTGGTGCCTTTTTGAATCTTCACATTATACTTTGCTTGTGTAACTTTAAAGGTGGTAGTCATTAAGGCACAGAACTGGTTAAAGTTTTATTTTGCCATAAAATATGCACTGCATTATTTACTTAACTTTAATGACTATATAACAATGCAACAGATAATGAAATACTCATCCTTTCAATTAATAATCTCATAAGGCATAATGATTATGAACAGTACTGACTTCTACATCTGATAACACTGAGAACTAACACAGCAATAAAGATCTGTATTTGAAACAGATGAAAGAAGTTACCATAACATTTTTCTTAACTGAATATTTTGAGATTTTTAAAGAAGAATTAAAAATAAAATCCATACAAAAACATATTCACTGTAAATATTTACCACCTAGCCTGAATAAACGTTTAAATATTTTTATTCCAATTTATGACCATAAGTAAATGAAAGAATCTGCATTTATAATTCAATAGCACATAACCAATGTGGCCAAGTAACCAATATACTTCTGCCAAATAATCTGACCCAATACCACTACCCAAGATCTGCATCTTGGTAACCAATATAAATTACCTTTCCTCACAAAGTTTTTTTCTTTTTACAAGAATTAAAACTCATTTATTTACTTTCAAAGATTATAAGTTTGAGTACACGGTATTAAAATTATAGCAAAGCCAATCGATCAAAATTGAATGTGATTATATTTTTTTGGGCAGAGCTGAAGAAGAAAGATATATTGGTTGGTAATAGCACATGTGTGATATTATATAAATTGTAATAAAATTGATTATACTTTTATTTTTATTCACACACCTTTATTTTCTAGCTCATAAAATCTAGTTGATGTGCCATCATTCACTATTCTTACTGGAAACCCATATTTGGCCAGTAAAGACAAATATATTATAATCAGTATGACTCTTATTAATGAACTAATGTTTATTGATTTTTGACTTACCATTTTTCTACCATGTGCTTGCTATTTACACTACTTACAGGAATTTGAATTGTACCTGTCAATAAAAAAATACTACAATATTACAACACATCAAGTTTAGTAGTTACATTCCTTTATTTTTCATTTAAATTATAAAATACATGTTTTTCTCTTTATCACACTAAATATGGATCAAAACTGAGAAACGAATCTACATTATTTTTAGAATACTTTTTTAGCTTAGCCTACTCAAGTCAAAAACTGTAGCTCAAAAAATCTGTTAAAAGCAACTTATGATAAATGTACATAATGTTTTTGTTTTTTAAGTACTTCCTAATTCACTTCTTACTTCTTTTCAAAATCTGTATTAATTTTAATTACTTTGGTAGATAAATAATTTTTCTTGAAATTACTCATACAAATTAGCAAAACTAAATAATTTAAAACAAAATTTAAATTATATTTTAAAGGTTTTTCTCACAATATTCATTAGTCAAAAACAAAAACATTATAAAGAAATAAAAAAGGAAAAAGTCATTTTAAAATTCAACTTAGTAAACAGCATCCTCTAAAGAATCCATTTTATCAAATATAAATTGTAAGTGTGCTAAAGCATTCCACAATTACTTTTTTAATCATAAGAGGACTCTGTGATCTTTAAAGTTAGGAGTAGCAGTTTAAATAAGAATAAAATATAGAGATGTACATCACTTCAGAATTTAAATGTTTTGTTTTTATTGTTGCATAGTCTTAATATAGTTAGTTTTGTGGTAATTTATTTAAAAAAATATGACAGATTTACATTATTTTAAATTTTTTTTTATAAAGACTGTATCACATATAATGTTATTATCAGTAAAATGGCCAATTCCTCCAACCCATTAGTTTCTTTATCTATTATTTTTGCCTGTTAATAAATATGGTGTGCATTTGTGTATGTGTGTGTGTGTGTATTGCAGTTATGTTTCTTTCACACAAAGACCTAAATTTTAATATTTTTGAAATAGTGAACTTGACTTTTTAAATCCAAAACACACAGGATTCCTCCCCACTCCAGAGAAAAGTAACCTATGAAGTTTAATTAAAATCTACTGTTTAAAGCTCTAGTTATCTTATGGGGAAAAAATATGTTTAAATATGGAAGGACAGAGAGATGGACAATATTATTACCAAATCCCCTCCAAGTCTTTTCAGTCAGGGGGATATAAATGCAAAAACAAAAGTTATTTGGAATTTAAGATTTATTCAAAAGCACAACAAAAATTTCAATTAACAGGAATCAGTTTAAATATTTTCATCAATTATCTTTCATTGATTTAAGGAACTTTAAATATAACATTGAAAATAAAACATGGAACTAATCTTAAGTTTACATACCAAACAATTACAAAAATATAAAATTTTTCACCCCCATCTAATATTTGTTAGCCCAATCTAATAAAATAATTCCCAATTTTTCAAATTGTAATCTAATATTATATATTTATGTTTTGTGTTCATGGCAAAGTTACTAAGGACATCTGGTACCATCATTAATTTTAAATAACTAAGCATAGGGAAGACACCCAGTCAGCAGTACCCTAATGCTCACCATCCATGCTATGGGATTGACTGTCACTCTTATAACACAATCACTGCTTAAAATGTGGGGACTATTTTGTGGTATCACACAAATTCCAATCCGGCTTTCAAGCTCCAAGATTCGGAGCTCTATCACAGGGCTAACCCACACAGCCTTATAATATGAGAAAAATATCTAGTTGTGGGACAAGACTAACCCTAGAAACAAGAGATTATTTTATCACTTTTAAATCTTTGTTTCATTTGTCATGCAACTAGTTCAGCATCAAACTAAACAGCTTGTTTCGTATGTGTTCTTCTGAAGATTACCAGATTTTCAGTTATTCTAGTAATGGATCCTACTAATCCTACTAATGGATAATTGTACTACGGGTATGAAAACTTTAAAACAGAAAAGTCTAATCTGTCCGATTTCTATTTCGAAAATTTCGTTCGAATATTTGATCTCCAATCTGCTTAGTGTTTCTTGTAATAAATAAGCCAAGAATTGCGAATTAAATACGATATTGAATTTTTTCTAAGATACGTAGTACTCATTATTATTGCGGCACTCACAAAAACTTAAGGAAAATACCTTATTCGATGAATTTTATTTTTGTGAGCCATGACATTTCTTATTTTATATCAAAATCCCCTACAATTCTAGTAAACTGCAGAAAATATACAACAGTACCAGGCACATTACAAGAACAAACTTTGGAAATATGTAAGTGATCTCTTGAGATTGTAGATTAATATATTGTTTCTTCTAACACTCGAAGTTTTAAACCATTTCAAATAGACTTACTTACTACTACTACTGACATTACATTAAATATCATTATATAAAAAAAGGCATTATC